GAAAACTATCCCGTGTGCATGTATAGGAAGACTCAATATTGTGAAAAATGTCAATGCACAAATTCAATGCAATCCCTATTCAAATTCTAGCATCATTCTTTAAAGAAATGGAAAAACTAATTGCCAACTTCATATGGAGAGGGAAGAAGCCCAGTATAAGCCAAGAACTTCTCAAAAAAACCAAAATAGGTGATTATGCACTCCCTGACCTCAAAACATACTACACAGCTATGGTTGCCAAAATAGCCTGGTACTAGTATAATGACAGATATACAGACCAATGGAACTGGACATAAAACCCAGAAATAAAAGCATCCACTGACACACAACTGGTTGTCAACAAAGGCCCAATCAACATGACATGGGAATGAGATGTCCTCTTCAATAAATGGTGCTGGGAAAATTGGATAGCCATCTGCACAAGAATGAAACAAGGCCCGTACTTCATCCCCTGTACGAAAAATGAACTCAGATGGATCAGAGACCTACATGTAAAACCCAAAGCTATTAGGATCACCAATGAGAAAATTTTGGACAAATCCAAGGGCCCTAGTGCAGGGCATACACAAGCAACCAGATACAACAAAGGAAACACACACTGTGGAAGACAAACTACATGAATGAGACCTATAAAGCATAAAACTAGTGTACATCAAAAGATTTCATCGAAAGAGAAGCAACAAGCCCACATGGAAGAAGCACACCACCAGTGCGTTCATGAGGAGTCATCGGGACTGGTAATAGACATCAGAAGACACATAACAAATAAACTACAGAAACATATTGTTAAGAATGAGTGGGGCTGGAGCAGAGACTCAAAGCCCATCTATAGACAATGAAACAACCAGCACGCCCCCCACAGATGGGCCACAGAGAAGGGATGAGTCAACCAGAGTGCAGTAAACCATCGATGAAACACTGTATTCCTATGGTTCCTTGAGGCTACCTCAGCCCCTCACTGTCATGACCCCAGTGCTGCTTCTCAATTCAGACTAGACCGGCGCATGTACACAGATATAGATAAGAGATGGGAGCCATGACACACGGAATCCAGGAACAGGAGTGGGAATAGTGATACCAGAAGGGTAGGGGGAAGGGGATCGTCGAGGAAGGGAGAAAGGGGGAACCAATCACAACAGTCGACACATAACCGTGTACCCCTTCCCAGGGGGAGAACAACAGAAAACATGCTGAAGGGAGATAGCCATTAGTGTGAGAGATGAAAATAACTTATAATCTATCCAGGGGTTATGAGGGTGGGGTGGGGGAGGGGGGAAAAGAGGACCTGATACCAAAGGCTCAATAGAAAGTAAGTGTCTAGAAAAGAATGAAGGCAACATATGGACAAACATGCCTGATACAATCGATGTATAGCTTGTAACAAGAGTTGTTAGAGTCCCCAATAAAATTATTTTTTAATAAAAAAAATTTTTAAGAGTAAAACAAGAGCCACAGATTGGGAAAAGATATTTAGCAATGACACACTCCGGACAAAAGACTCATGACTAAAATCTGCAGAATATTGAAAGCCTACCCCAAGAATAAAAAACAAATAATCCTCTTAAAAGCTGGGCAAAGGACCTGAATAGACAATTCAATAAGAATGATACCCGAATCGTGAACAAGCAAATGAGGAAATGCTTTTGTTCACTAGTTATCCAGGAAATGCAAAGTTATGATGAGGTTTTCTGATAGACATCCCTAGCAGAAGAGTGGGGGACACTGCTGGGAAAGTCAAGTCAAGAGAGGGGAAAGGGAGCAGATAAGTGCGTGTCTGTTGGTAGGGTGGGGGGTGGGGACCAAATTCTGAGTTGGGGAGCAAGGAGGGAAACTAGCAATACTTCTTAAGACCTGGTAATAGGCACCTAATAAGCCACATTTGCCTGAGTTTCTGGACACACCCTGAGGACCTAGGCCAAGTGCCGTAGAAGATGGGGGCACTGAATCCCGCATCTTCAAGGCACACAACATGCTCCAGAGTTCACACTAGAGGGATCCGATGTGGAAACTCCACTCGCTGAACTGGATTCTACCTCAAACACCCCTGTAACCTGAGGACTTAAGACTGAAAGTTCATGGTGTTTGAGGAGGTAGAAGACAGTTATACCAAGAGTATTGAACTGCTGGTAGGCAGACAAACCATCTCCTTAGTACATCATTGTCTTATTTGCTGTACAAAGACAGATTATTCCAGCAAACCTGTGATTGACATTGTCAGTGAATATTACTATCAGTTTTGCTTGACAACCAACCCCTGTTGTGTAAATAGCATCCAGCCATGTAAGGATTTATTCTATACAAGTGAATAATTCAGGTATTGCGATATGTACTTAGCCTACACTGACCCAATATCCCTCTCTCAACAGTGTTTTAGAAACTGGTACCAGGGACTAATCAATGACATTATTAATGGAAGACCTTTAGGCTCCAGGGAGATGACCCACAAGATTCTCCACCATACATTAACTAAGAGGTCTGTAAGGGTAACCTAAGGCAGGTAAAAGGCATAATTCCAGGAATGGATTTTGGGTTCACACTAAATCCTAGCTCCAATTTAAGAACAATTCACTCTAATAGCATGGCCCTGCCCGATACTTGTCCTCATGAAGGAAACACAGAAGATATGGGTGTTACATCAAAGTGTGGTGAAGAAATTAGATGGTGCCTAGCTGTCAGATAGAACACCGTCTGGGGTCTTAAAGGCTTTTTTACAAACAAGTACCCATCTAAGTGAGATGTCGACTAAGTTTGACATGGCAGAAGCACACCAACATCCATAACCCAAGGATTGTAAATGATATAATCCAAAGCAAGGAGGGAATTGTTTCAGAGGTTAAATTGTGAGATCCTGGTTTGCAGAAGGCTATGGAGGACAGTGGAAGCCCAAGACACATTTGCGAGATCTACACAGGGAATAAGCCGTTGGTGATTTCCCTCTCCATAATTGAGGGATGGGAATAAGGGTATCAAAATGAAAAACCTGACTTAAATGATTAAAGCCTCGTCATTTAATCCCTCCTCTGATACACTTTGGGCCTGATCTGGTTTTCAATATTTTCTGTGGGTTTTTTGATACTGGGATTTATCTCTGATGTATTTTGTCATGGTGGAATTTGTGTTCTATTTTTTTCTATATATGAAATCCTGGATTGGTGTACTTATAGAGACAACAAATAGAATAACGTTTCCTGGGGAGTATGGTAGAGAAGGGAGTTGAAAGGGAGATGATATCAAGCAGTTCAAGAAGGAAGAACATGTTTGAAACTGACTGTGGTAGCAATTGTACAATTCTGCTTGATGTGATTGAACTATGGACTGCTATGATATCTGTAAGAGCTCCCCATAAAGTGATTTTGAAAAGAAAAATGGTAAAGATTCTCAGATTTAAGCTAGAATTAAGTGCCAACCACAAATCCACGCCTATTTCCATGGTTTATGTCTGTGGTTCACTTTAGAGGCATCGTTATTTTATAATAAAGAACATTATAAATCATCCCCCTGGGGTATCATGCACTTCCATTGATAGTGTCACTAATTTAGGCAATGGTATAGAATTTAAAACACTGTTCAGAAAAGTAAAGTATACAATGAAGTGCTCACCTGCTAACCAAAAGGCTGCTGTTTCAAGCCTACCCAGCATCATCATGGGAGAAACATCTTTGTTGTAGCTGCTGCCCTGCACTAACAAACCGACTCTGACTCAGGACTCACCCCACAGGACAAAGTCGAACTGCCACATACGGTCACCTGAGCTGTCATCTTTACAGGAAGCCATCACCAGGTCTTTGCTCCCATGGAGCAGCTGGTAGATTTGAACCTTAGACCTTGCTCTTAGCAGAACTTAACCATTGTGTCATCGAGATGTAGGAAACTGATGGGGCAGTGCTACTCTGTCACACGAGGAATCTATGAGTGGAACTCAGTGTCATCCAACTGCGACTACACAACAAATGTGTGCAGTGCCAAGGTAGGCCCTGCAAACTGTGCAGATTCTTAGTCTCCAAGAGAGTAGCTGGGAAGTAGGGTGAGGTAGTTAGTTTATTGTGCCAACCTGGCCAATAAACACATGTGGGGTTAATTGAAGGATAGAGGGATAAATAGCTTACTGAGCCTCGCCTTTCTAGTTCTTGGGGCTCTTGCTTTGTAATGGTCGCAGCAGGGTGCAGCCGCCTTGGCCAGTTCCCTGCTTCAGCTGGCAAGGCTCACTTCCTGCAAGACATCCCTGAGGAGAAGCCACATGGACCTACCCCAATGCAGCCCTGGGTGCTGGAGCAGCCGTGTGGAGACTGCTGCCAGTAAGCTGAGATGCTTACACGTTCACTGATTCGGCTTTCCTCCTGCAGTCGGCATCATAGTGTGTGTTTTGTGAGATGGAGGAGGACTTTGTGGATTGGTGTCGGACATATGGGCTCATGTTGGACTTGTGGGTTTGTGCAGCACTAGGTTGGGATGTTTTCTTGATGTGCACTTAACCTTTATATAAAACTCTCTTATACATGAGTGTCTGTGGATTTGTTTCTCTAAAGTACCCAGACTAACACAACACACTAGCTACACAATGAACTCCAATACACCAACAATCATCTTCATGGGTAATGTTTGGACAATGGTTTCTGTTGCTATCATAAAGTCCCTGTGTGATCCTTAGGTTTATTATTAGAACCTGGCCAATAGGAACATGTGGGATTAATCAGGTCGCAGTTTGATTGGAGGGCAAAGAGATAAATGGCTTTGCAGGACCCGCCCCTCTCTCTCTTGGTCTCTGGTGATCAGAGTGTGTTGGAGAGTGTTACTGCTTTAGCTAGTTCTCTGTCACAGCCTGTAAGCTACTACCTGTGGGCCAAGCCAACCAGTGGATTGTGTGGCTAGAGTTTGAGGCTCCTTCAAGACCTGATTCCCACACTGCTGGTGCATACCTCGCTTGAGCTTGAGGCTGGTGGATCCTGTTGCCTTGAATTCCTTGTGTTTGATATCCTATCCAGGCCTGCTTCACTAAGCTTCCAAGCTACTGACTGTTGGTGAGCCACCCTGCTGCGAGCTATTCCCCTTGCCTGAGGGAGGACTCTGCTATCTGCTTCCTTGACCTTGGACCCGGCAGCCCACGTGAGTTGAAGGTCTTCCAGTATATTAACTGTTCCATAGAAATGAGTTGAACTGAACCCTTTGTACTGCTGTGCAGACTGATTAGCTGTGATATTTCTTCTCACTGTATAAACCTATCCATATTATATACATATAATCATAAGTGTCCTGGTTTTGCTTCTCCAGAGAACCCTGCCTAACACACCCTGTAGGTTGGAGTCAACTTTGGTGATCAGTTTTTAAAAAAAAGAAAAGATAGACATATATAAACCACACTCACGTTGTAAGCTGAGTCGCACAACAATGCCCAGGGTTAATCATAAGAATGAAGGAAATGAGACTGAGGATTGCAAAGTGAGCCTGGTGTGAGCCACGTCAGTAAACAGTAAATCTTTGCTTTCTAAAACTGGAAGCATGATCCGATGAAATCAGGACAATTACAGCCTTTAATCAAGCGCAGCTGAAAGCTTATAACTGAATCAAGTGTGAGCTGAACCCTTCAAATCTGATTTGTAAATAAGGGACAAACGAGGTCTCTCTTAAAGCAGCCATTGCAGATTTTTAAATGAGAGCAATATTCGTCAAAAAGTGTGTGCTTGCTTCTGTTTTTAAGATGACGGCTCATGGGGAATTGCAGCTTCATTGACTGCGATCACTTTACAGGCATTAGCGAGATGTGGCGCCATCAACTACTCACTTAGGAAAGGAAGCACTTGAAGCCCCGGAGAGGCCAGAGCGAGCAAGCCTGTGGCAATCAAGGTCGACAGTGGGAGGGCTGCATCCACTTCCAGGAATGGCCCTAATAAATTCTAGGTTGAGGATGGAAAAATGATCCCCACTGCACACATAATTTATTGTCGATATTGACATGATTTTATTATTCCTTTTTGCATGTATATACGACATCTGGAGACTGCTGTTAGGGAAAAGAGCTGGATTGTTCATTACAGAAAATTTCTGAAACATCTACTACCGTTTCCATAGGAGACATCAACAACTTATTTCCTAAGTGTCTTTCAATTCCCCATGTCCAAATCCTTATCTTTCTGCCCCTAATCTAAACCATAACATTGTGATCCTTCTCCAACCCTCCACTTGCTAGAAAATGAGGAAAGCCCACAAGAACATGGGTTGACACACTAGCTACACAATGAACTCCAACACACCAACAAGCATCCTCCTTGGTGATGTTTGGGCAGTGGTCTCTGTTGCTGTGCATAATGGCACAGTTAGAGTCAACTTGAGGACAACCAACAAACACAATGCATCCTAATCAAGAAGCTCCTTACAGCTCTACTGGAAGTCAAACTCCCAATTCTCAATCAAAGTCTGACCCGCCTTGCCCCTTTCAAGACACAACAAAGCCCTGATGCTGTCACGGTCTTCTTTACCACAGTGACAGTAGATTCAGCTTTGTCTTACCAACAAGTTGTGTGATCTGTGGAGGATTGGTAGTTGATAGTGTTTAGTATCTGTAGTTTTTCCCCCCCCCGGCATGGGTATTAGTGCTTGCTTCTCTGTCACTCTCTTATGCTAGAGCCATTTCTGAAGTCCTGTCCTGAACAGTGTATTATTTTCTATTTGAGTCTAAGCTCCCCAAAAGAAAACAGGAGGAAAATATGAGAATAAAGAAGAGTATTGCTATCCAATCATGGAAACCTTTATTAAACAAAACTACCAAAATGGGAAACCACTCCTATTGCTGCTCAGAATGTCCTCCTGCTAAGTCTACACACTTCTGAAGGTGATGTTTCTATCTCTCTAACCTTTCCCTGAAGAGTGCTGTACTTTTCCATTTCTCCTATGTCAAAATGGCCGGTTGGGCATCCCTGGTGGTCTCAAATTGTGTTCCTTTTAAATGCTCTTTGCATTTTGGGCACAAAAAGAAATCTGAAGGAGCCAGATCGGAACTGTAGGGTGGATGGGGCAAGGTTTCCCAAGAAATTCTCACAGGACAGCTGCATGACCCTCGGAAAAGAAAAAATTCCTCGGTTTAACTTCCTGGTCCTTTTTCTCAGCTATGAAATTTTCAGTTTTCATCGAACTTATTTATAGTCAGCACTAGGATCAGCCTGTTTCTTTTGAGAAATTGCATCGAGATTCTCTCTTTGGAGTCCCGATACAGTCTCCAACATCTTCTGAGCTGGCCTCTCTGTCTTGCATGGAACTGGTCCAGCGGATTCTCTCAAATGTCACCGTTTTGATTGGGCCTCTTTTTTTTTTTAAGGCATTTTATTAGTAAGATGAAGACAAGTGTATTACTGCAAAAACTTGCCTGCAGCCATCCACTGATCTCAGAGACATAGATTTTCTATTAAAAATGAAAATGAGGTATATAAAAATCTGTGTGATACAATCTAGGGTACTTAGAGAAAAACTCAGCTTTAAATGGATTTACTAGGAAAAAAGATTGAAAATGAGCTTGATAATTTATAAAATTCTATCTAAATAATAAAAATGAGAAGAAAGTAACAAACATAAAGGCAAACAAAGATGAAATGGAAAATAGTATAGATTATTAAGAAAATGAGAGTTATTCTTTAAAGTGATGCCCTGCACTGGACATCTTCCATTTGTTCCCCTGATGTGCTCCCTACTCCCTGCCACCTTGATGTCCCTGCTCTGTATCCTGGAAGACTGATCTCTATGGACTCCATCAGAGGCACTGTGGAGGCTTGAACCAGAGGTGCATCAGCTGGAGTTGGGAGGGAGAGAAGAGAGCCAGCGTGGATCCCTTGTTCCTCTCGCCCCCTCTATGCTGGCTGTGTCTGCCTGGGTTCCACCTTTGGACCCGAGCTTCTCTTCAATGATGCCCTTTCCAAGACTCCCTCTTTCTAGGCTATGGTCCTTTCTTCCTCCCTCCATGCATCCAGGTCCAGGGAGAAATGTTTCCAGGCTAGTCTCTTGTGTTTCCCTAGACTCTACCAACATCGTCACAGAATCTCTTTCTTAAAGTCTCATCAAATTACCTAATTTGAGTCTTCCCCCTCTCTCCTGGCTGCAAGAACTCACTGAAAATATAATATTTTTTTAAAACCAACATTTTAAAGTATTTTAGTAAGCCTCATTAAGAAAAAGAAGACACCGTGAAGGAGAAACGTTTGCAAATATGAAACAGTCTTTAAAAGAATAATTGGGTAATACTTTATATTAATAAATTGAACAATCTGAGGAAAGTGGTTCATAGAGATTATCAAAATTGGTTTAAGAACTAAACAAATCATCTGAGACTAAATGATCATATAGGTCCAAGGAATTTCCACGTTACATAAATTGTTCTGCAGAATGGACAAAAAAATCTACCCAACTCAGTTGTGAGCCTGGGATAACCCGGACACCAAAATAAGTAAGTGAGAAGAAAGTGATTGGCTTGTTCTACTTAAGAATGTGGATGGAAAAAAATCCTAATAAAATTCTAAGGAAATTCCGTTTGGCAGTAGATTAAAAGAATAATATGAGTATATTCCAGGAATGGAAAGATGATTCAACATTAAGATATCTATTACTGTAATTCAGTACATTAACAGATTAAAGGGAAAAAATGTGTCCTCTTATCAGATGCTGAGAATCCATTTGACAAAATTCAACACCCATTCCTATATTGATTTTTTTAAAGTATCTCCTAGCCAAACAGGAACAAAAGGAAATCCCCTTAATTTAATAATGGCTATTTCCAGAAAGATGCAACCAGTAAAAAAAGGGAGGAGGAATTAACAATAGCAGGAACCTCAAAGAAGGAGAACTTTACTTTTTCAATGTTATGTTTTAATTTAATTTATTAGCTGGTAGATCTCATTCTTCAAAATTAGAAGACATAAAAGTAGACTGGGCCTCTCTCTCAGCTCATCTTCCAGCCAGCAGCTTGCCGGCCCGGTTCATAAACAGTATTACCAGCTTCTTGGATACCCTTCCATAACTTTGCATTTGCAAGCAAATTCATGCACACATATAAATTATTCTTCATCAGTGCCCTAACCATATCAAAAATACCATGGGTTGCCAGAAGGACATACAAATCTGTCTTGAAAGAAGTGTAGACAGAATATATCTTAGCAGGGAGGTTGGCAAGAGTTTGTCTCATGTACTTTGGGCATGTCATCAGGAGAGACCGGTTCCTGGGGAAGGACATCATGCTTGGTAATGAATGAGTCAGCAGAAAAAAGACGAAGACCCTCAATGAGACGGATTGATACTGTAGCTGGATTGATACTGTAGCTGGCCACAATGGACTCAAGCATAGCAATTGTGAGGGTGACACAAGCCAGGAGTGTTTTGTTCTTTTGTACATACACAGACAGGGTCACCAAAAATTGGAACTGAAAACAACGTGTGTGTATCAATATATTATTCCATATCAGTACATAGAGCACCCTCATCCTTTTTTCTAGCTTAAAGGCATCACATTGAATTAAAAGAAAAACAATTAATTCACTCAACTAGCACTCTAATCAGAGGCAGGTAGTTTTCTGGCTTTTACTGGGACATAAAAAATGTCCTTTGGCTACCCACGTACTCTATCAATGCAAGAACACTTTGTTCTAATAACCTGGCATTCCGTCATGCTCACCTCCCTGACACGATTGCTGAAGACTAAAGTGGGTGCATAAGCAAATGAGATGAAGAAAGTTGATGGTGCCCGGCTATTAAAAGCTATAGCATCTGGGGTCTTAAAGGCTTGAAGATAAACAAGCAGCCATCTAGCTTGGAAGCAACAAAGCCCACATGGAAGAAGCACACCAGCCTGTGAGATCATGAGGTGCCAACAGGATCAGGTATCAGGCATCAGAAGACCCAAAACAAACAATCATACTGATGTGAACAAGGAGGGGCAGAGTGGAGACCCAAAGTCCATCTGTAGACAATTGGACATCCCTCAAAGAATGGTCACAAAGAAGGGACAAGCCATCCAGGGTGCAGTATAGCATACAACATTCCTCTAGTTCTTTAATGCTTCCCACACACACATACTATCACCCAGTTGTACCTTACAAATCAGACTAAACCAGAGCATGTACACTGGT